TATGTTCTCTCCAAAGGCTCTAGGGAAAGATCCTGTTTTGTTTCTCCCAACTTCTTGTAGCTCCAGGCTCTGATCTCTGCCTGGGTCTTCCTCTGTATCTATCTGCCTCCATGTCTCCTCTCCTCTTGTACAAGGGCAGCGCTCAGATGGGATTAAGGACTGCGCTGCTCTAGTCTGAGCACATGTTAACTTAATTAATTACACCTGTAAAGATTCTGTTTCCAAATAAAGTCATATTCACAGGTACTGGGGTTAGGACTTCAAGATATATTTTTAGGGGATGTAATTCAACCCATAACACACCTTCACATCACTTTAGAGTCCCATAACAGTTTGAAAAACTGGGACTTGCTTTTTCACCCCCTCTCAGGGTTTGCATTGTAAGGGTAAGTCTTCCTTGACTTAACTCCAAGAAGCAAGTAGGGTGATTGATTTCCAGCTGGAGCCAGACCAATGAAGGAAACAGCTCAGCACCAGGAAGGTGTTCAAGCCCCACAGAGAAACCAGCGCCCCCCTTCCTAGGACCAGGTTAGGTGAGAAATCCCATTCTCTGTCGTTCTGTCTCTCTGTCTGTCTCTCTGTGTCTGTCTGTCTCTGTCTCTCTCTCTTATACACATACGCACACCACCCACTACAAGCAAGAATACATTTCCCTGTTCTTCCGGGGGCCCAGCTCCAACATGCTTCAAGAGATTATTCTGATTTAAAAGGTTTTAAATCAGTAGCAGTTAGGGGTCACTGGAATTTAATTTGTGTAGACTCATCTACGAACTAATCAAAACCATCACTAAACCCTGAAAACCAAACCCACTGCCACAGAATCAATCCCATCACTGCTTCTGGTGAAATCTGTGATGCATCCTGGGAACACAGGCACTGGGCTTCTCCCAGCCTCCCTCTCCCGCAGTGCCCCGGGGCGCTGCTCCAGCAGTCCTTGTAGCCTACTCACGGTTACACAAGCCTCCAGTTCTGCTCAAGGTGGCCACAGCCCAAAGCCAATCTCATCCCAGCTCCCAAAACCCAAAAACCAAACCAGATGCTATGGAGTTGACTCCAATTCAAATCAAGGCAACCCATGTGTTGCAAAGTAGAACTGTGCTCCATTGGGTTTTCAAGGCTGTGGCCTTTTAGAAGCAGATTGCCAAGTCTTTCTTCCAAGGAGCCTCTGGGTAGGTTCGAACCACTCACCTTACAGTTAGTAGGTGAGCACTTAATTGTTTGCAACACCCAGGGACTCCTTCCCTAGCTCCCAGGAGGCTACTAATGTTCTCATTTTTCCACTCCACCATGAGAGCTATGGTACTTTCTAATCCAAGGAAAGGAAAATTTCCCTCAAATAACCTTGAGTTGTGATGGCTCCTTTGGCCTCCCAAGTGCAGCTCCTACCTCTGTTAGGAACTTGTATCAAATACCCCAGGGGCCAGACTGAGGGGGCCACTTGAGTAATATCTTCCTACTTCACACTTGCAGTCCCACTCGCCCACTGAGATACCAGGAGGATGAGTACCCTTATCTCAGGATTTCTCTGTCTCACCAATGCTCCATTTCCCAACCACAAAGAGTATCATGACCCCTTCTCCATCCCAGAATATGTTCTAGATTCCAGAGGCATGTTCCTCAGGACCAAAAGTTTCCTTCAGGTGCACCCAAAGGGCTTGAGCCTCACAGTCAAACACGGCTTCTGATGACTGGTATATTAGCCAGGATGCTTTGGGCTGCAAGTAACAGGTAATCCCACTTTAACTGGTTTAAACAAAAGAAAAATGTGTTCTCTCACATGAGCAGAAGTCCTGAGGTAGGGCAGCTCCAGGATGGGTTGATTCAGTGGCTCAATAATGCCTTCAAGGATTCAGGTTTTCCATCTTTCTACCAGCATTCTCACATCTTGGCTTGGTCCTCATGCTAGCTCCCTAAGGCACAAGATGGCTATCACATTTTCAGAAATCATATCCAAACACTACAATATCCAGTAGAAGAAAAGGTGGTTTATCTTCTTCATTGCTCTTTTTAAGAACAAAGAAGCTTTACCCAGCAGCCCCCTGGACAAAGTTTCCCTCAAATATCATTGGCCCCATTTGTATCACATGACGAGGCTCAACAAATCACTGCAGAGAGAATAGACTACCATGATTTTGTGTTTTTTCAGCTGTCTCTTGAGGCACAGGACTCTGTGAAAATGAGGATTCCTTAGCAAAACTGGGGTTCAGTAAAGACGGCAAAAGGTGTGGAGTGGCAGAGTTTATGAGGCGGAGTGCAGATTAGGCCACCACACTTACCTTTGGGATCACCCCTAGGCATCTGTCTTGGACTTACCTTGTTGTTGCTTTTTTTCATTCATTTCCTTTTTTACATAAGTAATATATATATAAATATTTTCTTATTCTAAATAAGTTATTCAACACTTAATTGTATAGAGTAAAAATATAAAAGATTCTCTTTACCAGCCTCCCTAATCTCACTTCCCTCCCCAGAAGGAACATCTGTCTCTATTTTGGTGTGTCCTCTTCCAGTCTCTTTATTCATTTGCATACATGGGTATGTTCATACACATATACAGGCTTTTTGCTTATATTTTACATAGTTTCTGCTACTGGCATTTTCCTCTTAACTCTCAATACATATAGGTCCATCTCATTCACTTTAGTGGCTGAATAGTATTCCGTAGTGTGGATATTCCATAACTTTGCATTTTTTAACTAGCTTTTCAATCTTGTGCCTCATCTCCCTTACCTAGATTATAAACATCCTGAGGGCATATTCCTCTTTCTAGTTCCAAGCACTTAGTACAATATTTTCTCACAAAGTAAAAGAGTCTCCCTTGCCACGTAACAGTTGTCTTAGCCCTCCTGACTATCTCAATTGGAGCCCATCTCTCAGCCAGTAGGAGGAACACAATACCACAGTCTATTAGTTTGTCACTCTTTGATCTATTGACAGAGTGACAGTCAATCTCCTAGCAAAGGAGAGTTTTTCATTTCCCACTGTTCCTTTGGCAAGTTTTCCGAGGTTTCCCAGGTTCAGGATGGCACATACTCTCCAACTCCCTGAGCGGCCATCAATTCAGAGTCCTTGGCTACTCTGCAAAGTTGAACATTATCTCTTTGTTCAGTTCACGCGGGAGCATCGGGGCCAAGTCATTAACAGCCAGTACTTCCTGAAGAACCATTTCAAGGGCTACTAATGGTGTTCACAGACTGTTGAGCTGGAACAGTTATCCATATGCCTACCCACACTTTTAACAGCCCTTTCCAGGTTTCTTGAGGCAGCCACAACTTTGACTCCATAAAATAGATTACAACTGAAACTCTTCTAAAATCTTTGGTGGGGAGAAATTACTTCAAGATGAGGTTATCATCTCAAACAGACCAACCCAATTTAGGACTGGGATGAACTTCTCAGAGTAACCGCTTTCTGAGCAGATGTTGGCATCCAGACCTGCTGATCGAGTCAATGAATATCATCTCCAGGTCTGGGTGCTGCTCCTTGTACTTCTGAATCTGCCAAGCTTCTTGTAGTAGCTGGAAAAATTACCATCATGCAGGAGCAAAGAAAAGGAACACATGGCTCACAGACGGGCTCCTTGCATTGGAGAGGATTCTCGAAGTTTGGGCCTTAACAGGAAACCTGGGACGGTGCAAGGAAATCAAGTAATAGGAATGAGATTGAAAGTAGCTTATGCCCCTCAGCTGATAACACACACGTGTTATCAGCTTTCTGATCAATCATTTTAATTAACATTGATTATGAAAACTCTGGCCTCTACTACCAAGAAGTCTACAATTTAATTGGGGAAATATGGCCTCCATGTATGAAAAGTTAAACAACAATACAAGGCCATGTGGGATCAGGACAAAGTAAACACCTGCTGTGGGTTCAGAGAGAGAAATCATGGAGATGGCAATGCTGTGCTTCCAAACAGGGTTGTTATTCTACCTTGACACACCTGAAAGGATCACGCTCGACCACGTCTACTCACTTACACAAAGCATGAGCAACTCTCTCTGGGAACCAGTGTGAATTGTCTTTGCTGTCTTGCATGGTCTAAGTGAGTCTTCATCTGATGGGGTTGGAGGGTCTGAAACCTGCATCCCTCAGTGTTTCTACCATTTTCCTTACCTTGAAACAGCCATGACCACTGAAGAGCTTGATTGGAGAAGAATGTACCATGGACTGTCTGAAGAAAGAACAAATCTGTCTTGGAAGAAGTACAGCCAGAACGCTCCTTAGAAGGGAGGATGGCAAGACTTTGTCTCTCTTATTTGGACATGTTATCAGGAGGGACCGATCCCTAAAGAAGAACATCATGCTTGGTAAAGTAGAGGGTCGGTGAAAAAGAGGAAGATCCTCAACAAGAGGGACTGACACAGTGGCTGCAACAATGGGCTCAAACATAGCAACGATTGTGAGGTTGTCACAGGACCAGGCAATATTTTGTTCTGTTATAATAAGGTCACTATGAGTTGGAACCAACTCGACAGCACCTAACAACAACAACAACCCTTCATCTACATCCACCACCCCATCCCAATTTGTTGAGAAAAGTATTTCCAGCAGATGAAGAAGATAGAATCAGCAGAAAACCTAGATATCTCTTATTAAAACAGGTTAAGACTTCGGCTCTGTGGTTACCGTACAGGTTCCACCTCCCCCTGCCCTGGTATTGGTGTCTCCAATAGGTATTTCTGTAGACAAATATCTTTCCAGCCAATATTGGATTATATGGTTGCAGACCTTGGGACTCAAAAGGGAAAGATGAAACCTTCACAGCAACTTGAAGTTTTCTTTCAAGGGGAGTTTTCTTTTCAGAATGTTTTGCTTTAACTGGTAATTAAAGGTGGGCAAAACAGTCCTGGCGAAATGGGTTTTCCTCCTCTCCCAGCCTGTCGCTCCAAGAGAAACAGCACAGGCAGGACCACAGGGCCCTGCCCTCCTAACTGGAGCCAACACTCGCGATGGTTTATGGTTTGGTCCACTTCAATTTCTCATGTGTTGCCTTCTTAGGGGCTGCAAGGCCCAGCAATCTGGACACAGGCCAAGAAGTCAAGAAATGTTGAAGCTGCAGTCCCCACTCTCCTACTGAAACCAGTGACCACCCAGCCCAGCCAAACCAAACCATATGGCCCCTTGGTTTCTTGATATATGAGGTGGGTAGAATGCTCTCCCCCAAAGAGGACTCCAAGGGATTAATTAGTTAAAATCTGTAAACATGTATCATTATAATAGTATTCTAGTTTCTAGCCAAAGCTGAACTGGCCAAAAGGAAAGAAAATAACTGCCACGGCCTTTGAGGGCAGCTGCCTCTGCTTTTCCGGTATTTCCAGTCTGGCTGGTGGGAGAAAGTCCAGGGAAATTCAGTGCTCGCTCAGCCTGAGCCCAGAGCTGTGCCAGCCACAATTCAGGATGAGGAGGCAAGAATCCAATTGGTCCCTGAATGTGACTGGGCCCTGAGTGTTTATACTGTTCACTCCAGCAAAGGCTGGCCATCTCCCGTGAGATCCA